CTTGTTGTGAGAAGAGATTACTTGTTGCGAGTACGCCTCTCCCAAAACCAGGGTCACTTTCTCGAGTAAACAAACCGTGTAGTAAAGTACAGAGAGAGTTTTTTTAGTGTGCACTGGAAAGATGCTGAAATACGTATATGATGGAAGGGTGTGTGGTACTTGGGGGCCGATAGTTACCCACATACAAGGGACCTGATTTTGTGGCAAGAATCACAAATGTGGGTGGGAGGGGCTAGGGACCATCACCACCCCCCACCTCAACCCCTGCCTACCATTCACACAAAATACAGCTCAGGCCAGATAGAAAGTGCGTAACCTGCACGTTTGACAACCTCTTCATAATTCTAGGACAACTAAAAGTAAACATAAAGATTACCCCCACCCCCTCCTCCGGGGTAGGTGTGGTTAGGAAAACACGCGCAGTGAGAGCGCGTTCAAAATGAAAGCCCCCCGGTGACCCCGCGGGGGGAGGGGGGGGGGCGACACGCCCTCCCAGGAGCAACCCAACATAGTCGACATTGCGTTGCATATTATGGTAGAAGCTGAATGTACTCACGGTCTCTGTCATGCCCGCCTGGTGCACAGTATCCAAAGTAAATCCTCACGGCCGTTGCACATCACTAATCACAATATTCACACCACAGGTAAGGTTATGGTTGGCACTCGCATCACTCTTTCACTTGGCCGCGCTGCCCGCGCTGGCCGGCCGGCGCCGCCCTGGCTCTGCCCGTGCGGGGAGGCCCCGGGCTTACCTCTCTTGCCATTACGGGCCCGCCATGAAAGCCTCCGCCCGGGCGGTCCGCCCTCTTCTCGGCCCGGCTGTCCTCACTGTTCGCCGCGCGACCAGCAGCGGCTGGCGCTGCAGCGGCTGCTGCGGCGGCCGGCGTGGCGGCGGCTGCTGCGGCTGCGGGGCCGGCCCCGGGCTGCGGCTGCAGGGGCAGCTGGGACCTCGGCTGCGGCTGCGGCTGCCACCCGCCACCGGGCGTCGCTCGCCATGCTGGGGTGTCGTGGGGCCCGGGCTACGGGGTGCTGGCCGCCATACGGGCCCCTCTAGGCCCCCCACCGGCTGCCCCCCCGGCACGCCTCCGCACACTCCGCACAGCCCCGCCCCGCCCGCGCGGCCTCGCCCTGCCCCGCCCCTGTCGTCGCGCGCACCAGCGCGGGGGCCGGCCGCGGCTCTCCCGTCCCGCCGCGGAGGTCGACGATGACGCGGGTGGACCGTCGCTGTGTCGGAGGCTGCAGCAGGACCAGACACACGCCGCGGTGCTGCCCCGACCCGAGCCGTCCCGTGCCCGACCCGTCCCGACCCGTCCCGCACCCGTCCAGGCCCCTTCCCTGCCGTCCCCAGGACCGACCGCGCTCGCACTGAGGCTGTCAGGCCGCGCCAGGCTCTCTGCGCCACCCCCCGCCTACCCTCTCGACCCGCCAGGGGCGCGCCAGGGGCCCGCGCCACCCCGCGCCACCCCGTGTGGACCACCCCCTCGCCTTCGCACGGGGGCTCGGCGGAGCGGCGGAGCGGAGCTCGGCTGGGGCTACGGGGCGGTCCGAGGGGCGGCCATGCCCCCCCCCCCTTGCTCCCCACACTTTCTACCGGGATCCTCTATCGCCCTTCCCTCCGCCGCGAGGGGCCAGAGGTATGCCCAGCAGGGTGGAGAGGGTCCGACACAACTGAACTATTTGAGGAGGTGGTAAACGACGGGAGGGGGAGGGGAGTCTCATGAAAACTAGGTGCCAAGGTAGACGGCGGCGATAGCAGTTATTACTCCCGCAGAGGTGCCTAACACCGGTTGTGACCTAAGGCGAGCCTGGTTGAGAAATTGGAAAACCTGCCACCCACAAAGTAGAAAATAAGGTTGCTTTGTAAAGAAATATTTTCTTTGCCTTTTGATCTAGAAACAAATTCGTTCGTTTCTATGTCGTTGACTTTCTCCGTACTTCATTTACGCGCCCTGGGCATTCGGGTAGACCTCCACAACGGTACACAGCGATCGTCCAATTACGGCTTTCGAATTTCCCTCCAGCATGATGCTTATTTGCACTGAGGTTGCATTATTCACACCAAAAGTGTTGTTGTGGTCTGCGTCGTGTGCTATTCTGAGTGTGCTTAATCTAAGTTTCCTGTGTAAGTTCCCGATGATTCTTGTGGTTGTCATCTCCTAAAATATATTTAGAACCGTTCTGTGCAAATTATTGATTAGATTAATCTGCTCTTTTATTCACGCACTTCTTATTCTGATGTATGTATTCGATGTCATAGGTTAGGTTTTCGTTGAGTTCTGTATAAAATATCTAAAAATCTCAAAATGGATGATGAAACTGACACCAAAGTTTCTCCAACACAAACCGTTATCAAGTCACCTGAAGCGGTGGAGAATGAAAATGATTCTAACAATGCTAACACAAATCAGGAAGGACAACAGCTTTCTAAAAGAATGCTTAGAAAGATACGAAAACGTGAGCAATGGCTAGCAAAATTGCCAGAAAAAAGGTAACATGATTTTTCTGATTTTTTTAAAAATTATTGTGCTTTGATTTTTTTGACTTAAAAGTTAATTAATATCTTTTCTTTAACTTTCAGGGCGAAAGAAAGAGAAAAAATGAAGTTAAAGAGGAAGGCTGCTCGTGAAAACAATGAGTCCCTTACATCCAGAAAACAGCTGAAACAATCCACCATGGCAAACAGTAGCTGCCAAGTCCGTGTTGCAGTTGACTTGGACTTTGACGACCTCATGAATCCAAGAGTAAGAGTTACACATCTTATTATACGTGCTTTCAGACCAACATTTATCATAATGATGCATTTTATTCTTTTTCAGGATTTAGGAAAGTGTGTGAAGCAGTTAATGCGTTGTTACACACTCAATAGAAGGGCAGCCAATCCCATGCAGCTGTATTTTACAAGCTTTAATGGTAAATCTGAACAAGAAATGAGTAAAAATAATGGTTATTCCAATTGGGATGTGAGTAACTTTTCTACTTGTTTTCATTCATTTGCCTTAAATTGAGGACTGTTCTCATGTACAATTAAATGTTCTTATGTGTAGGTCCATTTTAAAGAGGAACCATATTCACAAGTATTTCAAACTGATGACATAGTATACCTGACCAGTGAGTCTGACAACATAGTTACAACGCTTGATGAAACAAAAGTTTATGTGATTGGAGGACTTGTAGATCACAATGGACACAAGGTGATTTTGAACAGCTTTCCAAATAATGAACAGTTCTACTAATTGTAGAACAAACTTTTTCTAGTCAAAATTATTTGTTTTATAAACTTGTAATTTTTGAAGACAATACTACCTCTGCACTTTATGCTTCTTGCAGGGTCTGTGTCACAGGTTAGCTGAGGAAAAGAAAATAGCCCATGCTCAGTTGCCCATTTCAGAATTCCTTGAACTTAAATCAAGAAAAGTTCTGACTATTGATCATGGTAAGAAATTAACTCCTACTTATTTCCCTAATTTACCAAATACTTATCTATAATTATTCCAACTATGAGTTTTAGCAATTAATTTTATATCTTTATTTCCTTGCAGTATTTGAAATACTACTTGGTGTAAGTGAGGGCTTATCGTGGAAAGATGCATTTTTAAAAGTTTTACCTCAACGCAAAGGAGCTATCGGCAAGAAAGAAAATGATGATCATAACAGTACCTCTGAATCAAGTGCAACATCGGAAAGTGAAAGTAAAAATTGTATCGCACTTGAACCTCTTAAAACCTGTACCTCAGAATCAAATGGAACATTGGAAACTGAAGGCTCAATTACTATCAAAGGAGAAACAGTGGAGATGTGTAATGAAGATGTAAAAAAATTGTGTGTTGATGGGTCACAATCTACTTGAAATGTACAACTTTAGTATGAACTTTTGTTCTTTTTTTCGAAGAACATTTTGTTATTACATTTGTAAAATTAATACAAATGATGACAATTTACATTAAATTAATTCTACTTACATTTCGTCTCAGTCTTATTGGCTTCAGTTCTTCTCGAGCTCCTGGCATCTTTCTTTATCTATCCTCTCCATCTCTCGTACTTTGGCAGCAATCTCCTGACGTATTATTGGGTAGTATTTGTGACCCTGTCCTAATGCTTCCATGTCTTTCAGAAACTGCACACGTTCATTAACTTCATGAACAACTGAAACAAAATTATATTTTTCAATAATGTTATTTTTCCAAAACTTCTCAAAGCTGTCGAATTTTGTAGCTTACGCTCATCAAAACGGTCAACGTCAGGCTCGGGTGCTGGACTTGATAACTTTCGGCAGTTTACTCTTTTTTTACGAGGAGAAGGTGGCATCTCTTTACCAAAGGACATTTTGTCTTGAAACGAGCGTTTCTCCTTTTCTTTGTCAACTGAAATCCAAAGTCACACAATAAGAGATGATTTGATTGTAAGATGGCCCAAAGCTGCGGTAAAGCAGGTCAGCACATGGAAGTGGTAGGCCGGCAAGGTGTAAACCGTTTGCCAGTCAGAGCCATAAAAGTCTTTACGTCCGGTAGTCCCCGGAAAAATGTAAAACTGCATAAAACAACCACCCTCTCCCTCTCCCCCGAAATAGGGCTTCTTGCATTAGGAGTGAAATATTTACATTTCGTGAGACGTTACCTCAAGTTAGGCCTGGGCTCACAGCTTTATACCTTCTCGCTCCCAGTGACCACTCACTCCTGGGGTGCGCCGGTACGAAGCGCTCCCTCTCGTAGGCGCCGGAGCCGACGATGGTGTCCTGGAGGCGCCTGCACCCGAGGCGGAAGGAGGGCGGGCCGTCGACGGGGGCGCGGGGCAACGAAGACGGCGTGTGGGCGGTCGGTGGCTGGGCGGGGAGCGACCGGCCCTGGCGCAGGGAGTCGCCCAGCTGCTTGCGCTGCAGCATGGTCAGGCGGCTCTCGGCCATGAGCACTGCAAGTGGTGGAAGATGCCGGATAACACTCGACCTCTAACACGCTGTCGACACGACGTTGTGGAAGTGGCTACTACTGGTCGGCTGGGTGAGCCGGTACTCTACCTCTGAGGAGCTGGTGGGTCTCGGGGCTGTATGTGGCTCGGGGGCAGTGCAGCACCCCGGCGCCGACGGGCACCCTGGTGTACCTCCTGTCCATGGCGGTGCACCGGTTGGACCGGAGGCCGAGGCGGGGCCGACGACGTCTAGTGCGACCGGGTGGCGACGGAGTGCCGGCGGGTCGCGCAAGGCGTTGACGCGGCGGGGGCGGGCCGCGGAGAGGGTAGCGCGACGCTGTCATGGAAACGCCCGCGCCCTACCGGCCCGCCCGCCCGCCGAGCCGATAGGCACCAGCGCGCACCGCAGGCCGGTACCTCCACCGCAGAGACACTCCAGGAGATGTTCCAGAAAAATCGAAACATGCAAGCGGTTTCCTCGGTTCCTTTCCCCTCTTTCTTTCTTATCGGCCGATATCGGCTCGCAAGCCGCCAAAGTACGCCCGACTTAAGAGGACGACGAGCCGGTCCCGTATGGGACTACATCAAGTCTTAAAGTCTTGAACATGAACATCGTTCTTTGTGCGTGGCGTTATGACTGTCGCTCAACCTCTGGAAGCCAATCAGCTGAAGTCCGAGGGGAGGGTCATAGAACTACTCCAAAACTGCAATATGTAACATATGCAGTGTGTAGTAAAACCTTTTCAACAAACGATCGGCGGAGGAGCTAGAAGCGGCGTTTCAAGTTTGTGCGCCAAGTTGTTTAGCCCCCTCTTCTTGCCCCGTCCGCCCCCTTCACCACCCCCTCTCGTGCGCACTGCGAATAGCATGGTCGGTGGCCGAGCTAGGCGGCCTCGCCCAACCTTCGCCGCGCGGCGCGCCCAGCCCCGCCGGACTTCCCCCGGATGGGCGGTCAGCTTAGGGCGGCCCGACCGTGCAGGCGCGCCACCCCATCGCTCCACCCCTTCACCCCCGGGGGTAGCGGGGGCGGTGCGGGGGCGGCGACCGCAGCGCAGCCTGGCGGCGGGGCGACCAAGCTGGAGCTGGCCGGCGGTGCACGGCTGTGCGGTGCGGCGCTGCACGCCCCCAACCCTTATCGATTTAGGGGTGGCCGCGGCGCGGAGCGGGTCTGCTGCTCCGGGCGCGGGGAG